TGATCACTTAAGATATATTGATTTTAAATGTAGAAACTAGATTTCTGCACTGATTATACATTATTAGTTACACCTTACATAATATCAGTATTTGTATCTACTAAAGCTTTAAACGTTTGATATTTTCTTTATTAGAGCATTTTCTCTTCCTGTAATTTAATTTTACATAAGTTTTGAAAAAATGCAAGTGAGGCATTAAGATCTTTGTACTGATTTCCAATGCATGGTATTTGGTTCATCGATGTTTCATAACTAGTTTATAGATAAAGTGGGATTATACATTATTATTATAGATACACATTATATTTGTCGTACTTTTACCATTTATTGGTATTCAATTAATTTACATTAACGTAATTTTTGTTTCTGTAACTTTATTGCTATAATTTTGAGATGACGGTATTAAAAGTTTCAGATCTTTATATTGACTCCACAAGTATGATATATATATGCCGATATTATATATATATAATATATGACGATGTTCATTTTATTGTTTGTCTCATATATTATCTAGAGCGTATCTTGAACATTATTCCGTGAAACTTCAACTTTTTTAATCATCAATAAAATAATAATAATAATATTTCGACTTATATATATTGTAATCTGTTTTTTTCTTGGTAGACTAGTGCTTTTTTTCATACTTAATGCATTTTATTTTTCTAATTTGAAGTAACTTGTTTAAAATTGCATATGCTGAAGTTATCTACAATATTTTTATTATAAGTTGTAATTTGACCATAGACGGAAATCACTATTGCATTTAATGAAAACTAGTATATTTGGTGGAGAGGTTTTGAAAAGTAGTGAACTACAACAACAAAATTTTTTTTATATTATTTGAAATTATTCAATTTTTGATTGACTATGTAGCTGTTCATCAGTTGTCTTGGAATTATTCGTTGTATTTAATTATTTGTAAATTCGCACTGGCAAGACGATTTATTTTTAATATAAGCTGTAATGTAACGTCAGTTTATTAAAAATATACGGTTTCTCCCGTATGAATCGTACAGTAATATTAGCATGACTTTCTCCGTATTACTTTCCTTGATTAGGATTTATACTTAAGAAAGAATAATATAAAAGCATGCAATAAAAAATGCCTCGACTAAAGAATAGTATTGAAATTTAACAATGAAAAATAAATATAATTAATTAATTCAATTATTCCACAGCTCGTTTATGATATATAACAACAGCAGGTGAATTTGTTAATGAACTTTCACAGCAAATTAATAAAACTTCAAAGTGCGGATATTACAAGTTACGAACGGCTTTGGGTCAAATGGCTAGTGAGCGCTGAGTCTGTGCTATATATTTGGCAGGGTACGAGTTCAACCCTTGGTACTTGCAGTATCAAAAAAATATGTAGGAATAATTAAATACAATAAATAATTTCAAGCCCACTGATGCTGGATGCTTGGCAATACTAGAGCTGTATGGTCAGCCAAAAATTAATTAATAAAAATAATATAAAAGAATTTGTGTTGCTATAGGTCATTACTTTCTAATATATTTTCAATAACAAATATACCTATCTCACATTTTTTTTAATTCTTTTCTTTTACTTGACTTCTACCACGTTCACCAATCGATGTTCCTGTGGATTGTCCTTCACGTGCTGTTTGTGGCAGACCCTCTTTTTTGAAATCGTGAATACTTAAAATAATAGTCAAAGTTTTTCATTTAGGAAAAACCTTTAAAACGAAAGTTAGATTTTTGTGGAAGCTGTTTTAATCGAAAATGCATCCATTAGTGGTCTGATAACAAAGTATTAAAACATATTGTTATTAAATTTATATAAATTTTTGTAGTCTTGTCAGTTAGAGGATACAACTGCTTTCTATCCAGTTTTAGCGGATAATAACCAGCAAAGTAATTCATCCCTTAAAAATAGATTAATAGCGATCAACTGGACCATATCGGTTATTACTTTAAAAGTTTGGTTTTGCAAAATAAAGTGTACATCAGATAAGTATTTATTTGCATTTTCATGTTTATTAATATTATTAATAAACATAAATATTGCTTACTTCTATCAATTTCATATCGATTGCATTTGATATAGTGATTCTCTTCATAATTTTTACTTAATATTGCAGTCACTTCAAACATTTTACATTTTAATTAAGCTGGATTAAAATATATTATTAAACTAAAAAAAGATTAAAAGATTACCATAAAATATAAAGTTTTATCCTCAAATTTATTGCTTGAATTCTATAAAATAATGAAGACCACTCTGAACTTTTATTATAAGTTTTGTGATTGAAGAAGCTTTATTTCTTTACATTCTTCAACACTGATATCTGGTTGAGTTTTTCTCAATTTATGCAAACCAGGTGAAAAAGGATTCTGTAAGGCAAATCCTTTAAATGTTGTGAGTGAATGATTGTGTGGTTTTAATTAAAAGTTACGAAGTTACAGAATATTAAAAATATTGCAGTGCACTACTATATCTCTTTTGCGTACAAAATTAAAGAAGCTGAACTATGAAAGGAGCTTAAAATTAAAGTCAAGTAACAAAAGGAGCAGGATTAAGTGCAGAAAAATTCAAATTAATATGCGCACACGCAAATATTCACACTAACTTTTACAGTAACTTACATAAAGAAACATACATATATATAAAATCTTCTTATGTTATAATTAGCAAAGCCTTTCGGTAACAAGCACGGGATTATTAAGAGATTTTTGAAGTCAGATGAATGTACGTTTTTGCTAGGCTTAAGTTGAAGTAAAATTGCAGGATTATTACTGCTGTGATTGAGATACATACTTCGAAATCAACTATAAACACATCAAACTCATATGTTCAAGTATAAGGAAAACTTTGATGGAATCACGAAACTGGAATGACTCTCTGTCTTAATTCGAAATGTTAAACGTGACATTGAAGTTAATCCTTGCCATGAGATGTTTTAATGAAGAAAGAAATCTTTCGTTTAATCTTACAACCCACCCAGTGAAATTTTGTATTTTAAATGAAACTAGGTATATTGCTTTAATAAAAAAATTTATGTAGAATGGAATTTTAATAATTATGTATATATATATAAGCAAATAATTATTTTTTTGCAATACTTAGAAATATATTTTTAATTAAAATTTAGTTATATTACAAAAAATAATATAATATTATGGTAAAGTGATAATACCAAAATACCGCTGTATTCATCAGACTTGGCTCCTTCCGACTACCATTTGTTTTCATCGATGGGACACGCATTGGCTGAACAGCACTTTGATTCCTACGAGGAGGTCGAAAATTGGGTGTCTGGTTGGTTTGCTTTCAAAGACGAACAATTTTTTTGGCGTGGTATCCACAAATTGCCAGAAAGGTGGTCAAAATGTGTAGAAAGCAATGGCCAATACTTTGAATAAAATGTTTTATTACTATCCTATTAATAATTAGTGTTTTATTTTCACCAAAAAACGCTCATTTCATACCGGTACACCTGGTAATTATAATAACTCTAAGCAGTGTTAGTGCCCTATTGAGGTAGAAAATTTGTGAGGTTTGTGAATGGCACTGAGGTCGATATTTTTTTTGTTAAATACACCATGAAAAAAAAAACTTATACTCCCAAAGTCATGAAATATTTATTATATTGAACATTTTAGTAATGATTTATAATTTTAGGAATTGATTGATTTATGATTTGCATAATATACTAATTACATATTGCAAGCCCTCCAGAAAACATAATCCTGAACTGATCGTTCACCAATGATTACATTTTTATCTTCTGTTGATTTTAAGTAAATTTAGAAGAAAAGAATTTTAAAAACATATATATAAGATACAAGTATGTAACTGTATTTGTAGAAATAAAGGGTATTAATAGTAGAATAGTAAAGCATTAATAGTAGTCAAAAAAAACGCGAACTTTCAGTAAAAAGTACTTATTATTATTCATTATATATTCTTTATCTACAGGATCCATTTTTTGCTTTTGCCATCGCAGTTCCAGTTTAAAATACATTATTGGTTTCATATTCAAAACCAAGGTGTAGCGAAAAAGTAATTAGCATTTTTATTAAAAAGTACTCATTATTCTTCATAATATACTCTTTTTCTAAAGGACCCATCTTTTGCTTTTGCCATCGCAATTTCAATTTAAAATACATTATTGGTCTCGTATCCAAAACTTTCGATATTGTCAGCAATTTCTTTTATCATAATTCTCTTATCAGGAACTACACCATATTTCGCTTTTATCTTTCCTCGACCTCATTGGAGGCAATATTTTGACTAAATTGGTAAATATATATTAATACTGGTGTTCCAATAAAAGGTTTTTTGCAGAATTGATTTATTATATATACATTAATTTGGAATAAATGAGTTTCAGTTGGTGTATGAAGATTAGGGATCGAAAGAGGTTAATGTTAGATCAGCATCTTGTTGGGTTTAGTATAAGAAAGATAGTTAGATAATTCTTATAAATTCCTGGAAAATCTTTAGGGAACAATGTTTTAATTATTTTATTATTTGGTTCATTATTTACGATTTCAAAATCGTGTGTGAGAATGTTTTCCCATTATTCTTACATACAGACTCTTGGTTTGAAAATATGCCTATGTATGCATATATTTTGTTCTAAAAATAATTGGGAAATATGAATATTTGTTATTTGTTTTCGAGGAACCAATTGAAAATAAATTTACCAATTGAATCCACAAATATAAAATTTGCACCTTGTGCAAGCCAGTGCCGCGTAAATGAGTAATTTATTGAATATTTTATTCGCCCTTTATTGCAATGTGTTAGATTAGATAGGAAGTAAATTTAATATTGACAACAATATTTTGTTATTGTAATGTTATCTTATCGACAATTTGTGGAACAAAAGATATGTAAGAATGCGAGCAAACTTTGAATTCCAAATCTTTGTTGATGATAAGATTAAATGTTAAAAGCTTCCAGAACGACTCTCTTTGGCAGTAAGAAATAAAGGGAATTCAGTTAAATATGGGAAAAGGTAGTCTACGTATTAAAATATTAAATATTTAAATAAGAAAAAGTGATTGTGCAACGTAAAATAATTGTAAAGTATTAAAAATGGGACTAAAACATTTGACAATCGCGTTCTGTTTGGTATTTATACTAATGAAAGAATTAAATTGTGAAAATATTGACAATAACGATTTCGAACGTTTCTGCTATCCAGCAGCACATCAAAATACGCGTAAATCTTGCGAGTGCAGTAACGAGAGCGATCCACCATGGGGTTTGCGTGCATTGCATATTGACTGCAGTTTCAAATATTTACGCACAGAGGATTTATCAGAAGCTCTGCCATTGTATGCAAATACCTTGGATATGTCATGGAATTCATTGGATAAATTGCCACAGTTTGCTTGTGACAGCTTGAAACAACTCAATTTAATACATAATAATATTTCAGTTGTGGTGAGCAAAAATTTTATAAAGTTGCCCAAATTACGTCAACTATATTTGAGTTGGAATAGTATACAAGTCATAGAACCAAATGCATTTGAAGGTTTGGGAAGTTTGCAAATTTTGGATTTGTCCCATAATAATTTACATGCGCTGAGCTCACAAATGTTTCTACCAATGTTGTTGTTGGAAAATTTGAATCTATCTTGGAATCGCTTATTGAATCAAACTGTTGGCATACAGGAGCTTGAGTTTTATCAAACATTTGGTATTAGTCCCAAATTACGTATATTGAAATTGGAAGCTTGTGGTCTTGCCAATATAATTCTGCCTGAAAAAGCACCTTTGGTTGAATTAAATTTACGTCGCAATCGTTTCAAGCGAATACCAGAAACTCTACCGAGTGATCTACAAAAATTAGACGTCAGTGAAAATTTGTTAACATCATTATTGCCAGCAGACACCAAAAACTTAACGAAATTAAATGAATTGTTGCTGGAGGATATGCCTTTATTAGAGACTATTGAAGAGAACTCTTTGGTACCAATGCAGTCATTGCAAGAAATTAGTTTCCAAAATTGTCGAAGATTGAAATCGTTTCATGCATATGCATTCGGTGTCAATACTACTAAACATCCACAGCTAAAGTCAATGATTTTTCGGGGTTCTACTTTGCGTAGCTTTAATTCTACTCTGTCGCCAATATTCAATCAACTTACCGATTTGGATCTTAAAGGAATGCCGCTATATTGTTACTGTGAATTAAATTGGGTTAAGGATTTACCTATGGAGACTCATGGGCGTTGCTTCAAACCATCACGATTACGCGGTCTATCACTAACCAAAGCACGTGCATCTGATTTCAGCTGTAGCTACTGGCCTCAATGGATTTCTGGTTTAATAATTTTGTGTCTTATTATATTGTGTGCAGGTGGTATTTATTTGATCGTAATGTGTCTGCGTCCACATCGTGGAAGTGTAACGATGCGTCGTAAAGTCGGCGCAGGAAGTCCATATGCTAGGGTAACAATAGAGCCAAATAGACAAGAAAATAATCAATTTTAGTTTGCCTTTTAAGTTTAAACAAATTATTGATTTTTTTTCTAATTAAGTAGAAGTAGGTTTTTTTATTATTTTGTTTTAAGTTCGATTTAAAAAAGTGTTATTTTTTCGCATTTTAATATTAAGCTGTAATCTTTTTATTTATTTTTAATTAACGAAACTTTCACGTTATTTTTTATACTTGTGCGATAACCTATACACTGAATAGCGTGTATCTTATCTAATTAGGTTTGATAAAAAATAAATGGTTACGTTATTTCAAAATAATCATAGTTTTATTTTTATTTACAAAAATTCTTAGTAAAAATGTGATCACTGATTTTTGGAATTAAAATGACTAGTGGTTTAATTTTTTAAAATTTATCGTAACGAATGCACTTGTTCCGCTGTTAATACATAAAAATTAAAATAAATTTGATGATACAAATGGTTCTTTTAAATAACTTTATTTTAAATATTTGAAATTAAAAATCAACAAATAATTTGTTATAAGTTATTTTTTATTTAAGCTTCTAACAAAAATATAAATGAATGTGTTTATTTTGAAGTGTACAGTAAAAATCTTAAAATGTCCAAAGACTTTTCGATTTTTTCTCATTTTAATCTTAATAATTACGAGTACTTAGTATTAACCCTTGCGTGCCCGTGGATTTTAAAATTACTTTTAATCATACATATATACATATATATATATTTATAAATGTGACCTTTTATTATTTTGAGAAGTATATGTATCCTAGTTTAATCAAAAGTCTTGTTGTGCATGAATAAGACTGTGCACAAAAGGGTTAATAGAAAATAAATTATTAGTTTTTAATAGTAAAATATTATAAATTATTGATAATAGTTAGTAACGTTTATTATAATTTTTATAATAGTGCTCCTATTATTTTCTTACAGATAATAGGCGTAAGATACACTGAAGGGTGTATGTGAAATTGTTCGACTTAACCCTCTAATGCCACATTTTTTATTTGAGTTGAAAAAATCAGGTTAGATTAATTTGAGGTCAAAAAAGCCGAATCCAAAGTCCTTTTTTCATTCTGATGTCTCGTTGTCTTGTAAATCGTAAAAAAGTCAAGCCCGCCTCAAGGCGGTCCTGGGCATTTAGGCGTATAAAAATACAAATAAAGGATGCTGACTTTTGTGAGTAAAACAAATGGAAATTTCTGTTTTTTGGTTGCAGTCTTTATTAGTAATGATAAAATAATAATAATAATAAATAATATAATAATAATAAAAATTAAAACTTATGAAAATTATAAAAACATTTCTTTGTTGTGGAATCACACAAATTTAATTTGCATTTTGTGCAAAAATCTTGCCTTTGTGAGTTGCAACCAGCCATTTTACAAGTTTTTTCGCCCGATCTATCAAGAAATTCAGACCAATGACCTGTTTCATCGTAACGAACATTGGCTGGGGGAATATATGCCCTCTTTGGTTTAGGTCGTAGTGTATTCAAAGGTGGTCGATTACGTTTTTGAGTATCAGATGGACCAACGTTACAGAGGGTTTCTGGATTTACATTACATAGATTTGAATATGTCAATATGATTATAATTTCATTGAGAATGTTATAAAATAGATGTTAATATATATGTATGATATGTGAATATGTATATGAATATGTATGATATATGATATATAAATATGAAATATGATATATGCCTACTATAATTATGCGATTGTTTATATACGACTTTAAAATATTTTAATATATCAATATAAGGCAGTATTTTTTTAAGTATGTATAGCGAACAATCCTGCCATGTGTTGTAAAGAGCTTGAAGAAAAAGGCGAAGAGTTTACATATGCTGTGATTACTTAGTTAAAATAGTCACTTTTTGTTGGTCATTATATTGAAAACGTTTTGTTTTTAGACCTTCTCCTATGACCTCTTAAGATGATAGTTGCACAGATTTTTTTAAAAAATTTTACTTCATTTTCTAACATTTATTTAAAAATAAGTTTAAAGCACCTACAGGATATTGATTATATGTGACATATTATATAATTATTTGTACAGATAAAACCATATAAAATACAAATCATAATATCTAAAAGTGTTATATGGCATTGATTTGAATAAAAAATTATATTTATTGTAATCTAGAATATGTTTGATCCTAAAGGTTTAATATATTTTGCTTAAAGTGCATATAATTTTTATGACCTGAAAGTTTTCGAAATGCGTTAATAAATAATTTTTTATATTTTCATTTTTCCTTCTAAATTTATTACTTAGCCAAAGCTCCCGGAAGTTGCTTTTTCTGAAACAACTTTATTTCATACAAGAGGGAGTTACATGTACAGTAATTACATTGTCATAAACTTCATTTTCTATAAAAAAGATTTGTTTAAATTCTCTTATATTTTAAAACAAAGTATTTAAATAAGTAACAAAGCTTTAATTTAATTTCCGTTTTAAAAATTAGTTACGAAAATGTTTTTAATCAAAATTATAGCTTTAAATATTTAGTTATTCACATTACCAGAATGAATAAATAAAGTTCAACGAAACCTTAACAACTTACTTTTAAGTATAAAAAAGCAGCAAAAAAGTTAAAAATAGATATATAATAATAATGAGTATAAGGCACAAGTAAGCTAAGGACATCATTTACGTGCACTACTGTCACAAAAATTAAGTACATATTGGAGCACCTGAAACAGTCGTCAACATTCAGCAGCACATTTTCAAGTTATTTTGACTTTTGTAGTTAAATTAAAACTTTATCCTTGCCAACAACTGAAATGTCCTTAACAGATACAATAATAAAGCATGGCTTCTTTAGCTTCCTTTCAGTTTATAGTTATTTTGTGGCTGTCATGGAAAATTGCGCCTTAACGGCGTTACGAACAGTTGATTTTGGAAATTCTAAATTAGCGGTAGGACCTGCAGGCAGACGTAGGTTTGGGTTATGTGCTGCTAATGGTGGACTCTTGTACACAGCTTAAGTTCTTTTATATCAAGCAAATAAATGTGGCTTCTTTTTTGATAATCACTTCAATTTAACGTAACTAACTTTACAGATTTATGCAAATTACTATTCAAAAATAATAAATAATAAGAACGTTAAATGCTCTTTATTATTATAAGAGTAGGTCAGAAGCTAAGAAGTAGAAGTTTTATTTTTTTTTTGTTTATAATAAATAAGTTAAGTTTAGTGTAGTAAGTGAGTCAGTTGAGAAAAACATTAATCTTTTTTAAGATTACACCACATCATTATAACAATTATAACAATTGAGTTGTGTATTATGAATTTTACAAATTGTTAAAATTGTGAACAAATCTTCATTTCATAAAAAAAGCAGACTTCATACAACTCACTTAAATAATTATTATAGCTTTTCATGTGATCAACTATAGCAACCCACAAACCAAACAGAAGATATTTTACTTTTATAAGTATGAGAATGTGGTCTTTACAGGAGATAATTTTTATGATATCAAAAGTTTTTGATTTAGTATTTCCTCAGTTTCTAATTATATAAAACATATTTTAACTTAGATACATAGCTTTCCACGTGATCAGATATAGCAACGAACCAACTAAACAGAGGATATTTTATTTTTATGAACATGAGTATGGTTTTCATCGAAGAGTTTCTCATTTGTGATTTCAACAAGATTTTTTGATTTAGTATTTCCTTCACGGTTAAGAGCAAGTATTAGCAGTCCCATAAAAATTTATAGTAATTTTCATATCAGAATAACGTCAGTCAGGCCAGATAGCGACACCTTAATAATATCATGTTGATTGACCAAACTTAACAGTTAAGTAACCTTTTAATGACTTCAAGAAATGTTTTTAAATCTATTGACAAATGACAATCAGTTTTAATAGTAGTCAAATAATTCATCAAATCAAATAATTGTAGATTGTAAATCCCGGATTGTAAAGAAGAGTATTCCCAGGTTCATTACCCAAAATTTTAGCAGAGTATAATGTTTCAAGCATTTTGTGCTTGAAATAGAAAAGAAATTTTACCGATGAGGAAACCAGAAATTTTTGCACAAATTGTTTAAAATATTACTAAAAAATGTCTGATTTTTAGTGTTACAATAGTTTTACTTTTAGTAATGCCAACTTCTTTACCTGGTATTAACCTAGAAGAAGAAGTGTGACTGTAAATATTTATCCTATCTTATCTTTCATTCGTTTTAATTGATGCAGTTTACTTCTACTCAATGCTACAGTAATTTTGATGAATAGTTTGGAGAAATTGAAAAAAAAAAATAATGAGTCCAATGAAAGTGGTAAATCAAAATGTAAAGTGACTGTTAGAAGACATACAAATCATTGAATTAGAAATTTATTTTCAATTTGTGATGGCAGTAACGCGTTAGATATTCAAGTAAATACGTTAAGCATAGGTTAACTACCCATTGTATCAATTATTGAATTGTACGATTTAATCTTCATGTTAGCTATCTAAAATAGTGTAGGAAGATGTTATATCATGACCATATCATGACCATAACAAGCATTCACTGTATCGCCATAATCTATTCTCCAGACATGTCATTCTAGAATCTTTTTCTATTTTTCGAACTCAAGGAGATACTTCTAAAAAAGATATGGCAGAGCGAACTTAGGTGTATATAGTTATCTATACCTAAGTAAGTAAACATAATATCATTATAAATGGTAATTATTCTACTCTCCAAATAATCGTACCTTGTAGTTTCTACAACTCAAAAAGATATTTATAAAAAATTAATACTCAGAACCAACTTAGGAGTTAATCTGGAAAATGCATATCATGAAATTGTTGTTATTTTTTATGCAAATTTTAAAATTGAGAGTAAGAGAAAAACTATATGTTGGTTCAAATTTCTTAATGAGAGTCGAGGCTATATGTGTCCACAGTTGCCATTTGAAAATTTTTACTGTACCAAAATTGGTCTAAAAAGGTACCGTTTCTGTAAAAAAAGGTCCAAAATTTTTTTATTAATTGGAAATATCCACAATAAAGTTGGGTCGTTAAAAATGTACCATTTTTTGAGTACCAAACGAAAAAAAAAGTACCAATTTTGGTACTAAAGTA